AGATACTCCCACTGGTATTTTTTTCCCATCATATAGTATAATAAATGAAAATCATATAATAAAAAATGATAGCACGAATGTCATTATGAAAAGGTGAAGCATAATTAATACTTGCCTTCCATTACTTATTTAAGTGTACCATAAACTTATACATTTGTCTTTCAAATCATCATAAACTTATTTAAGTATGATGCTTAGCCTTTCAAATCATCGTGTTATTAAGTTCCAAATGTGATGATTGAAGCATGGTAAACTTTTCTCATTAGAAGCACCAAATCAACAAGAAAACATAATCAAGAAATTGTACTTGCTTGGAGAATGGATTTTAGACGCATTTGCAAACACACAAATTCTTTATACAAGCATTCGTCTTTAACCACAAATAACACACCATGTTGTTTGTTGCTATAACACACCATGTGATGATTGAAGCATTGTAGACTATTCTCATTAGAAACACCAAATCAACAAGAAAACAAAATCAAGAAATTCTACTTGCTTGGAGAATGGATTTGAGACGCATTTGCAAACATGAGCAAAACACAAATTCTTTAGACAGGCATTTGTCTTTAACCACAATTAACAAATAACACACCATGTTGTTTGTTACTATTTTTTTTTTATTTTTTAGTGGCCTCAAATGCGTCAATGGGGAACTCGAAGAAAACTGAATCGCCACCAGATCAAATGATGTGCTTCTACACTTGCTGATAAAATTTTAGAAAGAAATACAAGTCAAGAAATTTGGTCCCTTAACCTACAGGCTACATCCAATAGGAGTTTTAAAACTCTTCTCGGTGGCTAAGCTAACTGCTCTAGAGATAGTTGGTTTGTCATTTGTTACTGTTTGAATACATGAATTCTGTTGAGTCTTTTTGTTGCTTCTGTCTCCACACACGCGCACACAAAGATGTGGTGGTGCGGGAGTCCGTTTCACGTTTCTATGCACGCAAGTAATCCAAGGCAAAAACAGATACAGAATTGCAAGAACATCAAAATCCACCATCTCTAATTGTGGTCAAAGAGTTCCGTAAGAAATAGTAACGGGATATCAACTGCTATTAAACATTCGCGCTGCACGCAAGGGTACAAGCATGTCTATCATTCTATTCTACCACGTTATATGCCGTTTTTTGTTTGCATGCATGGGAGGTACGTTTTTGTACGTAAATGATCTTAAACAAATATAGGAATGTCAAATTAACCATTTAGGTCAAGTTTGCACCTTTAAAATAATTATATATTTTTTATTTTTTAAGCTCGAACTCGAGTCAATGACATTTTGAGCTCATCAGCTCGAGTTCGAGTTCAATTTTCATAAAATTAATTAGAAATTCGGTTCGATTAGGTCAAAACTCGACTTAATTCGACTCGTTTGTACTCTAGTCATATGTGCCTTCATTTAACTACTTTAGAAATTTCATGTCAAATGGTTTCAAAATTACTACTAGATGCTAAGCGTGATAATTTGAATTGTCTTCGTCATAAGTTTTATACCACAAAAAAATTTAATCGAAACTCTTTATATTGCGTGCCGCATTTGAACCAAAGTACTGCAGGACACTCTCAGTGCATTAGCGTCAGCCTCAGCTTGGGTCTGTCTGATTTGCTACAACTTTGAACTTCCAACCGACATTAAGAAAATCGTTGAGGAATCTTGTGCATCCCATCCCATAAAAGAAATGCCGTGGAGATAACTAACTAGTACATACTTAAAACAGAAGTGCTTGTGGTAAAAATATTATTGTCCTCGTCGTTGCAAAAGAAAAAAAAAGAATCACTACAGCCGCCCACTTATTTTCTTATTTTGAAAAATTTTTTCTACACCCTGAGGTAGGCATGGCCACGGTTCCAGAACCAACGATTTTGGTTCTTCAAAAAGGTAGAACCAGAACCGTACCATATAAGATGGTTCTGGTTCTGGTTCCAGAACCGCCAGTTCTGGTTCTTCAAAGAAGTAAAACTAGAATCGCATAGTTCTGATTTTGGTTCCTTATGGTTCTGGTTTCCGGTTCCGTATGGTTGTATACAATTTTATTTAATTCCTTATCCTTGCCAATTTTAATACGAATATAACAATATATTTAAATTTTCAAATAAATGTAAAAAAATAAATACAAAATAAAGATCATATTTTAATTTTATTATTATTCTACAAAATAAGAAGTAATAAATATATAATATAAATTTTATGAAAAGTACATTACATTGTCAAATTAAAAAATACATTACACTATCAAATAGTTGTCATGTGTTGACTTTCTTGAGTTGGACAATCATCAATGTTGAAGATTCCATTTGAAGAAATATTGCAAAAAATATTTTTTTGCTTGCTTGATTTTGAAGATGAGCTACTACCATCAAAACTTGTCATTTGCTAGCAAATAAGCAAAAAAAAATTGTAAGTAATAATTTAATACTTACAAATTATAATGATAGATATTAGATGAATAGAAAGAATTAAATAATTAATAAAATATATAGAAAGTCCATATAATTTAAACTTTTTTAAAACCTATTAGACACAACTAATTTTTTTTTGAATTATCTCACTACTTATATTAATTATTTTTAACAGTTCTGGAACCGGCAGTTCTGGTTCTGGTTCTATTTTTTAGAGAATCAGAACCGAAACCTTTATCTAAGGTTCTACGACAGTTCTGGTTCTATGGTTTTGGTTCCGATTCTGGTCCAGCTCCGAACGATTCGGTTCCGGTCCGGTTCCAAATGGAACCATGGCCATACCTACCCTAAGGTGCTGGTTGGATTGAAGGAGAGGAAATGCCAATGGAAAAGAAAAGGAAGGGAAAGGACATAAAGAGTAAAGCGGCTTCAATCCATACCGTTTAGATTATAAGTATCAAATCTGTAAGGAAACGATCCGATTACAGTAAGCTCTCATTCTGTCCTTTCTTTTCCTCTTCAAAAATCAATCTAAACAAGAAAAATTAAATCCCTCTAATTCATCGCCATTCATTCCCCTCGCTCGCTGGCGTTCCCTCAATCCAAATTATCCCTCAAGATTACATATACTCTCCCCAATCAAAAATAGTTTGTGACGTACGGTAATCTACGTACACTTAGCATCACAGCGTAGAAAGGAACAATAGATTTACTGGGATATTTTTAGATTTAGTGCGTCAAAATTGGACACAAAATCTCAATTATATATATGTATATATGTAGCCCATTTTCATGTAAAGCAATTACCACGTGCAGCTTTGTTTGGATATACAGAGTATTATTCAAATAATTATTTGAAATAATTACTGTAACACTTTTTACTTACGACGGGAGATAAAAATGCGGAGAGAGCAGCTGCATGTAACAGGTGTGTATGCAAACTTTCAGAATCAGGAGAGCCGCCTGGTGATTCAGTGGTCAGCCCAGGTAAGGAGGATTTGCTAGTTCCACGGTATTATCTGGCTGGTGAAGTGATAGAGTTTGAAATGGTTTAATAATAAATTTCCTTCTTTCCTCCACCACATCGACCGGCCCTTTTGGTTGCCAGCTTTCAACGAATAATTCACAGTAGCTGGTGGGTTCATATCTAAGCAAACACAGAGTATTGGCTTCCTGCTTTTCTGAGTGCTACTCCAAGCAGAATCGGAATGGTCCATGTCATGAGTTAAATTAATCTCGTTGAATTGATATAGTATCTAGCTACAAGGGAAAAAAAAAAAAAAAAAAAAAAAAGAATTCTAAGGTCAACTCGATCTCGTCCCCTTAAAACCCCAATCGCAGACCTATGCAGTAAAAAACTTATTTTCTCTAATGGTTACCAGCATTTATAATTGTTTATCCCCAGTTTTATCAATCCACTCAGACGAAATTAAAGCAAGGTTCGTTAGGCATCACCGTCGATGCTTAATTAGCTTTAGGGTTTGGAATCAAGAAATTAGTAAATGATAAAATAACTGTGGATGCCACGCCACACTCCTCCTTATCTAGTAAATTTTAAAAATCAGATAATCCACCAACCAATATTTTATTCCGCTAGTGGAGTATCATTTTTCTGTTCATGTTCATGGCCATGGGGTTTGTTATGTTATGTGCTGATGATTCCATAACATTAAATTATTAAACCACCTGTCATATTATATACTATGTATACAATTAATGCCAATGGGATTAATAAAACTGGGGATTAATGCCTGCCAATGCTTCATAATTTACCTTTTCTTTTCGGGAAAGGAAACTACAGTCATTTTATGTGCTGAAGGGAGGTAAGTTTAATTATTATAATTAGGAGTTAGAACAGAGCCTGAGGGGAGGACGTCCTACAATTATTATGGCAAATCACCTCTTGTGCTTCCTACGTCCCATCACTAAATACTGGATTCGAGCAAAATTCAATTACCACTGAAACAATAACTTTTTTTTTTTTTTCATGCCAAATATTTGACATGCAACTAAACCTGCAGGAGGGTATGTTTTCATTTAGGTTTTGGTAATCCTGGTTTGAGGCCGCAACAGGTGGATAACTTTTGATCTGTTACAACTGACTCGAGAAGGGATCAACAGCGAGCGACTCCTTAACCACTTACTAATCAACTTGAACTGGAGATCCAGACGAGCTAGGCATTTAACTCGATCCTTAATTAATCCCTAGTGATTTGTGGAATTAAATTTAGCTAGACCAAATTAAGAATACGTTGCATATATAAAATCCTGTTGTAACCCGAAAGGGAATCGCTTTACCTATCAGAATCTCATCTCGCATGGGACTTTGTTTGAAGCTAGCCTTCTGCCACTGAAAATCGCCCACTCAATTTGTTTGTTGTATTTAAAAGCTATAGCAGCTTGTTTTGTCTTTGGTATATCTTCGTTTTTGGCATATTTTCTGGTGACTGGTGAGCCATGGTACGTATATGATTTTTTGGGACGAGGACCATATATTGAGGGCCGATTTTTTATACTATCATAAATACACTATTATTGAGGACCAAAGGAACATGTACCCCTTTGGGCATATATTTTGAGCATGCATCATCACACAAGATGGTTCGAGATCAAAAAACAAAGATACATGCATGCTTAATTATGCTAATGGCCAAACTGATGCATGGTATTCAAAAGCAAGACAAAGCCTAGCAGCATCCATCTGAATATATATAATGATTACACTCCAGTTTTGGCAATTAACTTTGTTACACCAAAGGTGATTCCCATGGCCATCCATCCTCCAACTAACACCCTCAATGAAGACTTCACTAAAGGTGCCTTCCCCAGGAAGGCACCCAGCCATCCGAACCCTAAGAGTGCGAGGCTTGAAGCAGCTACCACCAATCCAAGCCGCAACTGATGGCCCTTCACAAAAGCAGCAGCCAGCAAAGGCACCACTGCCCCCATGGCAAAAGCAAAGGCAGATGCAGCCGCCGCCTGCAGGGGGCTCGGCAAATCCTCTTTCTTGGCATCGTACTCGTTTCTATCAATAGCGTTGGCAATTTTTTCTCTCTTCATTTGAGCCAGCTCTATGTCGCACTGCGAGTACACGGAGACAAATTCCCCGAGGGCCATGCTACATGCACCGGCCACCAACCCGGCTATTCCGGTGAGGATCATGGTCCTGACATCGGGCCGGACGGCTCCGACCCCCATCATCAAAGATGCGGTTGACAGTAACCCGTCATTTGCACCTAGAACAGCAGCTCTAAGCCACTGAGCCCTCTTAGAATAATCGACAACCGGAACAAGATCAAGATCTGGAGTAGAAGCAACTTGTGCTTCCAGATCATTAATATTACTCTCGTTTTGCGGGGTTTGAGATGGGGTTGCCGATTGTTGAATCTCAAAGGAGGACGGATTCATCGTCTTACTACAAGAAGAAAGTGGGCTGTCCAAAATGATGGATGGATTCTGGTGGTGGCGTGTGGCTACCACAAGAAAGAAGAGAAAGGGAGATGATTCTTAGGGTTGAAATGTGGGAATGGATATGAGGGAGTGTGGAGGGCACACGCCCAGGGGACTGAGTATTTATAGAGGAGAATCCGAAAATCTACCACTAGACACATATCTAATGGCCATCCCATCTGGAGGAATTTTAGGCTGGTGGGGGCTTCTTCCAAGGAATCTGATGCGTTCACACCTGGATTAACGAATTGGAGAATCCTCCGAGAATTTCTTTTGCCTTATTTACTGTTACCCTTACGAGTCCAGGTTGCAAATGGTAGCTACGCCTAAGTTCCCATTTCCTTCCCCTCGGGGCTGGCCTTAAGTACGACGTAATTTGGGCCCATGCGCTTTTGTTTCCTTTACTTAATGCACTTCTCCCTATTCCAAGACTAACCACTTTTTCATTTTCTCCCTCTTCCTCTTCCCTTTCTTCTTGCTAGCTCAGAGGATTTTTTTTTTTTTTAATACTTTGTCGGTCAAAAAGTCCTCATTATTAAACTATGAAGTATAAATACAAGGGCAAATACATATAAACTGTTCATACAGTAGCTTTAGTGAACAACGTGGAGAAGCTATCATTCCACCTACGTAGTTTGTTGAAAAAAAGGTTTGTGTTAGCTAAATTTTGCAAAATCATGACTTCATCTCTTTCAATAGGCAAAATGAACAACGCCAGAAGGAATTAATTATATGAAGACCTGATATCATGACTACAGTAACATCAGTCGTACCTATATCCGTGCAGTATTTGATTTTGTCAATCACATTTTTTGCACTCTAAAAGGATCAAAATTGACGTCCAGCTAGCGGTCCTCCAATGCCTTTACAAGCGCAGTTCTGATACCAAAAGCTTCTTGCATTGCTCCTAATGGAGTAAGGAATAGACGGCGGTGTTGTGAATTGTGATTGGATTCGCCTGATGGTCTTTAACAGAAACACCAAGTCCATATTTAGGTTTTAAATAATATCCAACTACTATTAGCTAGCTACCTATGGCACTCAAGAAGGTTTAGGTTTTCGGGAAAATATTGGGACCTTTAGCTTGTTCCCTCTTTTTTTTCTTGGAATTGAGAACTGATTTACGAGGAGGTTTAGGATGGGACAACTGTTTAGGTTCTAAATAACATCCAAGTACTATTTAGCCGCCTATGGCACTCAAGAAGATTTAGGAAAATCTATATCTATGTAAATTGTAGAAGTGGTTTTTTCCAACTAGTTTGTTGGAAAAAAAAAAAAAAAACTAGTCAAATCGTAATGCTTTCAACTCTCTATTTTTAAAAACAAAAGTTTTTGAAAATTTTTTAATTATTAAATATTCTTTCATACCTTTTGAATTTAAAATATAAGAGTTGGCTTCACTAATATTGGGATTTTGTTTGAATTTTTTATTTCTTGGAAGATAAATAAAGATGAAACATCAATAGTTATACCAAAAGTAGGGGTGTCAATCCGACTTTTTGAATTGGATCTTTGTAAGCCCAAACTCAAGTTATATGGGTTTTTGGGTTTTGAGCTTTTGGATTTTGGACTCATACTAAAAAGGGACAAGTTCACGTCACACTATTACATGAGTTTTGAGTTCAAATCGAGTTTCACCCAAACTTATAATTAAATACATAATTATATTTAATATATATTTTTATAATGGTGAATTAATACAAATTTACATATAAATTATTAACATTTATGTACTATTATTCAAGGCACACACTAATATGTATGCAACTAATAGAAAAATATTTGTGAAATGTTTTGAGTATATTTATTGAACTCATTTTCAAGAAAATTGGTTTTATATTTCAAAAATACATATGCAAAAAATTCACCAAAATAAGAGTTATAAAAAGTAGTTATTTGGTAGTTATTCATAACCATAATTGGTAGTTGCTAATAAAATTAAGATTTGCTAAATAAGTTGAAAAATAGAATATGAAAAAAATACATATTACTTAGTAAAAAATCATATTAGTAGTCTCATCACCAAGGGTAATTTAAGAAGTATATAAAGTGACAGATTTTTGTTTATTCCAAACCCCCTCAGATTTTTGTTTATTCCAAACCCCCTCCTCTCCATATATATATATATATATATATATATATATATATAATTATACTCATATATGGATCAAATTTTAATCGGGCATTAGCCTAGTATAACCCAATCACGGCTCACATTTAGTTCAGACCTAATATTTAGGCCTAAACTCTATCTAAACCAATTAAAGTTTAGACTCGTAAGCATTGTCTGGACCAAACAGGTCGAATCTAGCCTAATCCTATTGACAGTCCTAACTAAAAGTAAAAAAAAAAAAAAAAAACTAAATAACAATAGTTTACCGTTCAACTTGGTAATCCTAACTAAAAGGACAAACTATATAAAAAAAAAGAAATATTATTCATTAGTCATGGATTTAGACAATCAATAATGTATTATTCTAAATTATAAAATCATTAAATGTAAAACAAAATCCTACTGGCCATTCAAACTAGAAACTTTTTATTTAAAATTTTATTTTTGATAAAAAAAGTAATAATAAAAATGACACCAGTCTTACCAAAAATAAAAGAAATAAATAATAACATAATTTAAGAGAAAAGTATAGAACATTTGACTATAAAACTATATCTACTCAATTGTATATATTTGATCTAAATTTGGCCCATATTAGGTTTGAATAAGAGTGTAAAACCCAACCACAAACAATTATTTTGTGTATTATTGATTATTTTGTGCATTTTTATTATTTCTTTGTATGTAAATATTCAACACTACTATGTCATTTTTATATTCTAAATCTTTTTAATATTCTTTTGTGATTGTTAGGGGTATTATAAGATATTATTAATCTTTTATTTACATTTCTAGATGTCGATACTTGCAACCATAATGTAAGTTCTTGGTTTTATATAGTTTTCATATTGTGGGAGGGAAAGGTAAATATGTTCTAAAAACGTTAAACCAAATTGCAGGTTAAGGGGTTTTTTTTTTTTTTTTTTTTTTGTCTTTGGCTTCAAATTTTACCTTTCAATTTGGAGGATGAATACTAAATCAACTATAAATTTTTTTATATCACAAATAACTAAATCTAGTGCTTTTATTTTGAAGACACAAATGTAAGTATATTTTAAAAGTATAAAACTAAATTACAAGTTATAGGAATTTTTCCTTTTGTTTTAAGTTTTAACTCTTCAATTTGAATGTTGAAATATGAACCATGCATGGGACAGGATGCAAGTACACAAAAATTGGACCATTAGCTTGTTCCTTTTTTTGTTGGGAATTAAGAACTCATTTAAGAGGAAATGTGGGATGGGACTACTATTTAGGTTTCAAATAATATCCAACTTCTATTTAGCGACCTAACGCACTCAAGAAGGTTTAGGTTTTCAGGAAAATGTACAAAATTGGGACCACTAGCTTGTTGTAGTTTTTTGAGAATTAAGATCTCATTTAAGAGGAAATTTGTCCATTAGCTAGCTCCCTTCTTTTGAGAATTAAGAACTCATTTAAGAGGATATTTAGGATGGGACTATTATTTAGGTTTCAAATAATATCCAACTTCTATTTAGCCACCTATGGCAAGCCCCGTTTGGACAGCCATTTTTCGCCGGAAAATTGCGTCATTTTTTATGATCATATTTTCCTATTACTTTTTTTTTCTTACATACATCAAATTGCTACAGTAATTTTTCTACAAAAAATCCTAGAAAATGCAATACAAACAAGGCCGGTTTTCAGGAAAATGTACAAAATTGGGACCATTAGCTTGTCCTATCTTTTGAGAATTAAGATCTCATTTAAGGGGAAATTTGTCCATTAGCTAGTTCCCTTCTTTTGAGAATTAAGAACTCATTTAAGAGGAAATTTAGGATGGGACTACTATTTAGGTTTCAAATTATATCCAACTTCTATTTAGCCACCTATGGCACTCAAGAAGATTTAGGTTCTCAGGAAAGCGTACAAAATTGGGACCATTAGCTTGTTCCTTTCTTTTGGAAAATGAGAACTCATTCAGGAGGAAATTTACGTCGACTAGTGCCATCTTGAAAATTTTTTTTTTAAAGGACCGCTCCAGAAGAAACTAATGCGCTTCTCCTTTCACTTCTCTGACCCGGGCCGCTTTTGTTTTCCTTTCTTCTACATTTGCTTTTGGACAGGGTTCCCAGGACAGAACGAGGTGGGATACATTTTAAACAGTTCAGCTTTGGGCTTATATTCGTATGTACCGGATCGATTTTGCCATTTTAGGATGGCTTTGCACTTCTATGCTTGATTGCCATGCAAGATGCAACGTACGAATTTGGATTGCACTTTCTCTTGTTGGCTAAAACTTAAGCATCTAAAGGACAGAAACTGGGTGATGCCTTAAATGGTTCTCTTTTACATGTATCAGAAAATAGCACTTTAAAAGCTGTTCTTGACAGCATGTTTGAAGTGTGTGTAAATCAAGACAAGTTTATTGAAGCTAAATCCCCAGAAGAACATATATTCGACATCTACTAAGATATTGAGAAGCATCACTGACACCTACTGAGAAGCATCACGGATTCTAATCAGTCTTGCTCTCTGCAAAGTATAATTTAACCAACCCTATTCTCAACGGTAGTCCGTGAAGAGGGGTGGAATTCAACACATTTGAAAATTGTAAATTCAAAATAGCCATGTTAAGTGGATAACTTCAAGATTTACCACACATTATTAGTTCGAATCAAGATCCTACAGCTCAAAAGCCAAAGACTTCTATCACTGCTAGTTTGTAGCAAAGACAGAATGGATACCGTCTTCTTTCCAAAAAAAAAAAAAAAAAGATAACACTGCATGTAAACTGCCGAGGAAATCTCTCATTTCAGTTTAGTAAATAACTTGGGCGCAACCTGCATGACAAAACAATTAGAGGGGCAAATCAGTCAAAAGGTAAAGAATTTGTCCATCAATACAATAAAATGTGAAAATATGAAAGAAATGGAACGTACGCATTTGTCAACACAATGCCAATAATCAAAGTATTGGCCAGTGCAATGCTTGTTC